GTTGGTGGAGTCAAACGAAAACAGCAGCGTGAGTATTGTGCATTTCTTTCTTTAAATTTCATTTCTTCTATCAACTTTAAGTTAAAATACCTTCGAATGGCTTTTTTTCTTGTGAAATTGCCACTATCTGCTTGGTTTTGTATCCAGATACAACACTTCTAGATCTAGGCACTTTGACTTCTTTCACCTCTAATAGTTGATTTGGTACAGTGTCAAGTTAGGAAGTACAAAAGCTTCGTTGAACTTTTTCATTGATTTGACAGTTTTTTTCGTGTGCGTTGCGATACTGTTTGATGTCAGTGCGATATGAAAACATGAGAACGAAGTGTAATTTTATTAATGGTGTTCGGGCACACGTGTTCAAAGGAGATGCAGTTTGTACAAAACCTAGAGAGATTGATTATTTTATGGTGTCTTATCGAATGTTACTTTTGCTTAGTTATGCATGTGATAGTTTTAACGTGAACTTAGTTCAATCCTTCTAGACATTCCTTCAGAACTTCTTTTTTAATGGCTTTTGTCATATCTCTCTGTTTGCGAATTAAGTCCCCCAGATTTTCTATGCTAGGATTCTCGAATAGTGGGCTAGGTGAACACGAGCTTTTAAGGGAAACATTTCACACGATTTGGTCACATATCTAAAACATCAGGCTACAACTTTTGTACCAGATGTGTTGCTGAGCCTTTTGTTTGTTTTTCAAAAATGGCTGCCTAAACTCCGTTCGTTTGAGATTCCAAATTTGTGTGCAGTTATTTGTTGTTATTTGAGTTGCATCCTCTTTTGAAACAATGCTCTTGATGATGTTAGCCTCCCAGCAGTGGCACCCTTGGGTAGTAACCTAAAGCATCATTGAAGATCAATCGTCACAATTTCTGTTTTCTTTATTGAGTCGTGATCTCCATGGCATACGCATTTTTAGGGCTGTTCTTTATGCTAATCGACATTATTTACGCTTATTTAAAAAGAGATATGCAGCTCGCTTGTGTAAGGATCGGGCACAAATTGTTGGTGATGTGTTCATTGATCCCAGTGCTGAGGTGAGTTTCTTTGTATCATAAGTCGCGCTGGGATTAGCTGTAGTCTGTTAAGGTGGATAAATCGGCTAAAATAGGACCGAATGTTAGCATAGGACCTAATGCGAAGATTGGGAAAGGAGTCAGAATTAAGGTTAGACATTCTTCTCTAATCTATTTTCCTAGCCTGTAACTTCATTTGCAGGAGTCTATTATCCTTGCTGATGCAGTTGTCAATGAGCATGCTTGCGTTTTGCATTCCGTCATTGGTTGGCGCTCTGTAATAGGAGCATGGTCCCGTGTAGAGGGGATTCCCCTTGCACCCAATCCAAATCTTCCTTTTGCAAAGGTTAGGGCATCTGATGAAATTCCCATTTTTTTCGCGCTCATCTATTGAGTGTAGACGAAGCATTTTTTGAAATAAATTAGCGGTGTAGCCGCATTATCCATAATGTGTCTAGCACCACCTCTGATTCAAATTTTCTCTCATAATTTCGAGATTTCTAAATTAAATCTCAACATTTTATTTTCAGCTTGAAAATAAGCCACTTTTCTTGTCGGATGGCCGCCTTAACCCATCACTTACCATCTTGGGATCAGATGTTTCGATTGCACCAGAAACGATTGTTTTGAATTGCGTTGTTCTTCCTTACAAAGAATTATCTTGTAGTTACAAAAATCAGATAATACTATGATTGTTGATATAATCTGGAGGGAATCAAATTTCGCTCTGTTTGTTGTTAGATAGATCTTTTGCGCTCAGTATACTTGCGTCATTTGCCTGTGATCATCAGTTTCTCAGTTTGGTGTTTGGCTTATTTAGCTATATATTTTCATCAAGAAA